CCACTCTGCTCCCCGCCACTCTGCTCCCCGCCACTCTGCTCCCCGCCACTCTGCTCCCCGCCACTCTGCTCCCCGCCACTCTGCTCCCCGCCACTCTGCTCCCCACCACTTTGCTTCCCACCACTTTGCTTCCCACCACTTTGCTTCCCACCACTCTGCATCCAACCACTCTGCACCGCACCACTCTGCACCGCACCACTCTGCTCCCCACCACTCTGCACCACACCACTCTGCATAACACCACTCTGCTCTCCACCACTCTGCACCACACCACTCTGCAGCACCCCGCTCTGCTCCCCACCACTCCTAGGGTTGCCACCTGTCCAGGATTCACCCGGATAGTCCGGGTTTTGAATGCTGTGTCCGGGTTTCATGGCAGCAGAAACCCGGACACAAGATGTCAGGCACCACTCTGCACCACACCACTCTGCTCCACTGAGTCAGTGACTCAACCTTATAATTCTTATAATTTGCTTCTTTGTGACCGATTTTCTGTTCATCTGCCAGATCATCATCTTAGAGGACTACGCCGACCCGTACGACGCCAAGCACACCAAAGTCCAGCGCGACGCGGAGAGGGTCGGAGAAAACGACGGCTACATGGAACCTTATGACGCACAGCAGATGATAACCGGTAAGTGCAAACGCCTCTGTCGTGCCGTCCCATTTCGCTGTTTTTGTCTCTATATCAGCAGCAGAAAATAATCAGGATTTCAGGAAGGAAATCTTCCTGGACTTGTATTAACCCCTTTGCGTCCATTATATCGCTGGTTCCCATGTCACGCTGGAGGTGGGACGGGGTTGAGGTTGAAGTTCGTGACCTTCCAGTTGGAGCTGTGACTATGTGCACTGTTCCCAAACCTCGTTCCTTATCTCACGCTGCAGCAGGAAACGCAGGTTCCTGTCCCGTCCCCCCGGACCCCCACCCTTTGTCCCTGGGAGGGGACTCACCAGGCGTAGGGACATTTAACTGAGGATCCATTTCTCCGTGTGTGAATCTGTTCCCTAACACGGGACAAAAATAAGGCAGCCATGGCCTTTCAGACCTATTAGGGCTATGCTGTGACTTGTAGTCCCCCTAAAAAGTGGTATGTATGTACAACTATGTAGAACAAGGGCCCGTCTGATTGGATGCACATTGATTGGATGGATCAGGTAGGTCCTCATATGACATAGTTTTGGTAAATCGGATTCTCACCATACAATCTCTGTGCCATTCACTTTATATCTCCCAATGTTGTCATCGGATGTGCTCATCAAATAATTGGATACAAAGTATCAATAGCCATGGAATACATCATGGGTGGGGAGGTGGGGCCCAATTGGCTGACTGTCATGGCGGACCCTGTGCTTTCAGCAACCAATCAGAAGCCAGTATGCAGTTGGTAAGTGCTGACTTCACTGGCTGTGTGTCCATTCCAGGTCGGTGATGGGGCTGATTCCTAACAATCTTTGGTCGGTAGCATCTGATCGCAGCAAATGCCAATTGGGTGCTGAACATATTACAAATGGGGGGGGCTCTGCGGCATGCTGGCAAATCTTTGCATCCATGACGGGCAGGGGTGGGCAACTCCAGCCAGCCCTCCAGCTGTGCCTCTTCCTCTGGGAGTCATGCCTGTGGCTGTCAGAGTCTTGCAATGCCTCATGGGACTTGTGGTTCCACTACAGCTGGAGGGCCGGAGTTGCCCACCCCTGGATTAGGGCCAGTCGGGCAGATTTCGTACTTACAGCATCAGGGCTGCTTCTGTCAACGAGGCCACTGCAACCCTCTACGTGACCGTGCCAATGTAAGGATAAGATGCACATATCGTAAAGAAGCGATTTCCAGCACACTGGACAGCGTCAGTTCCAGGGAATGATATTCAATCATAGAAATATAGAACAATAGAAATATTGGTTGATACATTGCTGCATTTGTTTCTAGAAACAGTGATGGAATTATATACAGACTCTGTATATTTTTGTTTTCCATGGCTGTCGCAACCCAGTACGGGGTCCCGTCCAAGCTCTCGTCCCCCTTTTCTCTCCAGCTCCTGGGTGTGACTTCCCGTGTCGGCTTCCTGGCTCTCAGTGCGGCTTCCTCTGCTGGACGGCTTGTTCCACTGACAGGAAGGACGCCTTGGCGGCGAACAGGATAGGCCCAGTTGCCATGGTGTTGGGAGAATAGGACAGTCAGTTGTCTGGGCAGTAGGCCGGGGAGGAGGGGGGTGGCCTGTCTGTCCTCCGCTAATCCATCTCTGTTATGTTCCAGCGTGGTCTCCCCCTCCCTCCGGCGCCACCGAAATGTACCAAAAAGTGCCTGCTATGGGCCCTGGCTGTATTGAAACCATAGGATTGGCATAACAGATCGGAATTTAACATCTCCAGGTGGAGTTAGTCACATTCAACTGGACTTGTCCTGCTGAAGACGTTTGGTAGCTTCTCCAAGCCCCTTCTTCAGTTCTAATGATAGGCAGGGGACTACTACTAGCTATATCATGACCTGGAAAAAATGAGTACCCCCCAAAGATATATATCGTCCGGAGGAGAACCGCAATGACACCTTGCATTGATTTCCCAGCAAATTGGATCAACATTTAAAGTCACATATGGGGGCTGCCATTGCTAGCTTCCTTCTGAACATGGCTGTCATGTCATGCTGATCGGTTGGCTTCAATATTTTGGAAGCCATTGATCTGGAACAGAGTTGGAGTAAAATCAGAAGTCCTTATCTGTTTGCATTGTTCTGTGTCGGCGACTCCATAATAAAGCCAGTGGATGGGCATGGCAACAAGGAATCAACAGGGGTGGAACCATGGGGGGGTTGCACCAAGAAGGGTGCTTTTCACGAGCATTTCCTGTAGCCTTTTGTTTCACGTTTCTACTTTCCAAAATGTTTTTGATATTACCGTCGTTGGTAAAGAGGCAAAGAAGATGGAACTTCTGTTTCCCCTCACTTCCTGTTCCAGTGACCACCCAGGAAGTGAGAAATATCTCTTTTCATTAATAGAGTGGGTAGAACCTCCATTAGGTTTCTTATCGCTATGTCTCTTTTTCATCTCACTTCCTGCTATGGTGGCAGGATTGTCTCCAGGACAGGAAGTGAAGGGGGATCTCCCATAGGGGCCATGATGACCTGTTATCTCGTCCTCACTGTCTTTCAGAAATTAGGCGCAGAGGGTCCAAAGACCAGCTGATCACCGAGCTGATCCTCATGGAGCTGACGTCCCCAAATGAGAGCAAGGCAGAGGCCAAGAGGCAGGGGTCCCAAGAGCTCCTTGTCAAGCCCCCTCAGCTGTACGATACCCCCTATGAGCTCCCGGACAACGAGCACGATGGAGAGGAGAAGAAGGCGCAGCGGGTGGCGGATGGGACCCGACCGGAGAATGACGAGAGGCCGGCCGGAGAGTATGAGCAGCCCTGGGAGTGGAAGAAGGAGCACATTGTACGGGCGCTTTCAGGTGAGAAGGGTGAGAGGACCATAAATGGATGGCGACCCTCCAAGAGGACCTGATATGACTTGCTGTCTTCTCCATAGAAGTTCCAATATGTCCCGGTTCTGATAACTCCAGTAGAAGTCCTAGAATGTCCCAATGCTGGTAACTCCAGTATAAGTCTTAGTACTGTATGTTCCAATGGTAATAACTCCCGTAGAAGTCCCAAAATGTCCCAATGCTGATAACTCCTGTAGACTTTCCATTATGTCCCTGTCACGGTCTAGGGACCAGGGCACATGAGCTCCTGTGTTTGCGGAGTTGGTAGGAGTCACAAAGAGGCGGGATATCGGGGATGTAGGTCACAGGGAGAGAGGAACGAATGATCTGTGCGTTCTGAGGACGCACTAGAGGCGCAGAATCTAAGAAGGGCCAGGTATTCGACAGAGCCTCTAGTGGTGAGGATGATTGGCTGCTGGACACCTTCCAGGTTGCGGCCCTCTAGCGCACCCACACAGACGCAAGGGACTAGTTCATGCAGCGGGGAACTGGATACAAACAGGTAGGGAAGAAACTTGTAACCAAGAGGAGGAAGACAGGAAGAGGGAGAGAGAGAGAAAGTCTCAAGCAAAAGTGCAAACGCACAGCAGAACAGCAGAGTATACTGAAGAGAATAGATAAGCAAGGACACTAGGGAAGGGTAAGCGGCTTAGAGGCACACCTAGGAGCAGGAAGGTGCAACGTACAAAAGTAAACGAGATGTGCGTTGCACATGCATACAAAGAAGCAGGATAACAGAAAGAAAAGTACACAAAGAAGCACAAAAGGGATGTATGCACACAGGGGGTGTGCAGACAAGGATGAATCCAACACAGCCACCAGGTTAGAGAGGAGCACAGAAATAAAGGGGTGACAGCAAAACAAAGGAAGATACACTGGAAGGTAAGTGACGGAGTAGAAGTACAACAAGCAGTAAATAGGAGGCAGCAAACAGACAAAGACTGTAGAGGGAAAACACAGTAGAAGTAAGGCAAAGAAGGCAGTATGGAGAGGCGCACAGGTGAAGGCAATTAAGGAGCCAAAGCAGGGGATAACGCCAAAAAGGGATACTAGCTGGTACAGGGAAGCCAAAGGCGCAGGGATCCAATAGCAAGCGCAATAGCAAGCGCAGGGAATAAGATCCCAGGGTTAGTCAGAGACAGAAGGGGTACGGAACAAGGCATAAGACTTGTTGCTCGCACCAAGAGCAACAAGTGAGGAACTCCTAAATAGGGGAGAAGGAGAGCAGATTGGCTGCAGCCTTGTGAGACACCATAGGCTGACAGCCCAGAAACAGGGAGCATATCGAAAATCCGGCACGGATTTCCGGATATTGTGACAGTCCCAAAGCTGGCAACTCCCATGGAAGGCCCAATATGTCCCAAATCTTGTAATTCCAGTAGAAGTTCCAGTATATACCAATGGCTGTAATTCCAATAGAAGTCCCAATATGTTCCAATGCTGGTTACTCCAGTACAAGTCCCAATATGTTCCAATGCTGGGGACTCCCAAAGAAGTCCCAATATGTCCCAATGCTGGTAATTCCAGTAGAAGTCCCTATATTCCCCAATGCAGTAGAAGTCCCCATATGTTCCAATGCTGGTATCTCCTGTGGATGTCCCAGTGTGTCCCAATGCTGGTAACTCCAGTAGAAGTCCTAATATATTCCAGTGCTGGTAACTCCCGTCAAAGTTCCAAGAAGTTCTAGCTGCCCAGTGATGTAGCCTTTGTTACGTTTGGCTTTCCAGTAAGATCTTTGTAACACAACCATCTCACCATCTTTTTTTACCTCTCTCCACTCCGCAGTGCAATTTGAGAACAGCGAACGCTCTCAGGCCAAGGAGGAGGTGACCCGGATGCACCAACGCCAGAAAAGTTGGACGGCCAAAGTCTTGAAGCAGCCTCAGGCCGAGCAGACGGACAAGGTGGACCCGACTGTCCCATTGGAGAAGCAGAGGTGTGCTTTCTATGTTGCATGATATTTGTGTCATCTTAGCGTAATTGATAGGCAATGTGCTGGTCACGTACACAGCCGGTTAAGTGACTCTGGCTCTGCTTTCTGATCACAGCTGGTATCACGGTTCTGTGACCCGCGCGGAGGCGGAGAGCAGGCTGCAGTCCTGTCGTGAGGCCAGCTACCTACTGCGAAACAGCGAATCAGGAAACAGCAAATACTCCATTGCTCTCAAGTGAGTAGTCATATGATGTACAAATGAAAGGTCTCCTCCAAAGTGACCAACACATCACACATGGCCTGGTATATAGGTGAAAAGACTTACAAAGGTTACAGGGAATATGTGGAATATGACTAATGATTGCCGCACTGCTAACGGCCACCGTGAGCTCTATGTTGTACTTATCCATGTAGATATGGGGAACCTGTCCATATAGTTATGGGGAGCCTGTCCTTTTACCTATGGGGAACATGTCCTTATACCTATGGAGAACATGTCCATATAGATATGGGGAACCTGTCTATATAGATATGGGGGACCTGTCTATATAGATAAGGGAAACCTGTCTATATAGATATGGGGATCCTGTCCATATAGATATGGGGAACCTGTCCATATAGATATGGGGAACCTGTCCATATAGATATGGGGAACATGTCCATATAGATATGGGGGACCTGTCTATATAGATATGGGAACCTCTCTATAGAGATATGGTGAACCTGTCTATATAGTTATGGGGAGCCTGTCCATATACCTATGGGGAACATGTCTATAGAGATATAGGAGAACCTGTCCATATAGATATGGGGAACCTGTCCATACGGATATGGGAACCTCTCTATATAGATATGGGGAACCTGTCCATATAGATATGGGGAACCAGTCCATATAGATATGGGGAACCTGTCCATATACCTATGGGGAACATGTCCATATAGATTTGAGTAATCTGTCTATATAGTTATGGGGAACCTGTCCATATAGATATAGGAACCTGTTGATAGAGATATGGGTAATCTGTCCCTAGAGATATGTGGAACCTGTCCATATAGATATGTTGAACATGTCTATATAGATATGGGTAACCTGTCCTTATAGATATGGGGAACCTGTCCTTATAGATATGGGGAACCTGTCCATATAGATATGGGGAACCTGTCCATACAGATGTGGGGAACCTGTCCATACGGATATGGGAACCTTTCTATAGAGATATCGTGAACCTGTCTATATAGATATGGTGAACCTGCCCATATAGATATGGGGGACCTGTCCATATAGATATGAGTAACCTGTCTATATAGATATGGGGAACCTGTCCATATAGATATAGGAACCTGTCCCTAGAGATATGGGCAACCTGTCCATATAGATATGGGGAACCTGTCCATACAGATATGGGAGCCTGTCCATATAGATATGGTGAACATGTCTATATAGATATGGGTAACCTGTCCTTATAGATATGGGGAACCTGTCTATACAGATATGGGTAACCTGTCTATAGATATATAGGGAAAACTTGTCTATAGAGATATAGGGGAACCTGTCCATATAGATATAGGGAACCTGTCTATATAGATATGAGGGACCTGTCCATATAGATATGGGGGATCTGTCCATATAGATATAGGGAATCTGTCTATATAGATATGGGGGACCTGTCCACGCAGATATAGTAATCTGTCCATAGAGATATGGGGAACCTGTCCACATAGATATGTTGAACCTGTCTATATAGATACGGGGAACATGTTCATATAGATAAATGGAACCTATACATACAGATATGGAAAAGCAACAACTTCCAATATATTTTAAGACCAGAGGCTCCAGGGTGTCCATTACATCCTTGCATCAATGACTAATGAGCTGCTGTGTATATGCAGATTGTCAGTTGCACCTTCACTGTCTGCATGCTTGTCTGTGAGGTCCGTGTCCCACGGGGCAGTGAAGTACAAAAATGTTTGCACCTCCAAAAGCAAGTCACCAACAGCATCCCCCTTTGTTCTCTTCTGACCGGTCCTCATTATTTTAATCCTTTCTCCTTGCAGGACCAGCCAGGGCTGCGTTCACATCATCGTGGCGCAAACCAAGGACAACAAGTTCACCCTGAACCAGACCAGTGGCGTTTTCTGCAGCATCCCGGAGGTCGTTCACTACTACTCCAGCCAAAAGCTACCATTCAAGGGGGCCGAGCATATGAGCTTGTTATACCCCATTCCCCGAGTACACTGAGCTCTTCTGACCCCAACGACGCAAAGACACCCCCTTCTGCTGCCACCCCTACGCCCTCCTGCCAGCTCTTTAGGCCCCATTCAGCATTACTCCTCTTTCAAGCCAGATTTATGGATCTCAGAGACCTGCACACTGAATTGCGATTCCTACTGTCCCATGTATAGCGTTTCGACTTTTTCTGCAAAGAATAATATAGCCATCCTCTGGTCAAGGTGTACCCACATATGCCCTTCAGAAGCTGGATGGTCTACATGCAATGATGGACCAAAGGAAGTCCCTGTTCAAAAGACTTGACATTGATAAGGACTGATGACTTTTTACAGAAGGTGGAGACAGCTCGGAAATTGTGCTACAATGTATCAGAATGTTATGACAGGTCCTCATGGAGAACCTCAGAATGCATTAGTATGTGACCTAGAAGACAGTGAAATTTTAGAAAGTGCTCAATTTTGTTTAGAAATTGTATAAGATTGTGAATCCAGCTGAAAATAAATAGGTACAAGGACTAAATAAATCTTGTACAGAAAAAAGCAGAGTTTTTTGTTGCATACATTTGTCTTTATATATGTAGCTGCATTGCCCCACAAATACACTTCCCTCCTGGTCCCTAACCCTCCTGGTCCCTAACCCAAAATCTGACCAACTATGGGACATATACTGTATATAGCAATGCATAAACTCAGAGCAGGATCACCTGGAGGCCTTCCTCCTTCAAGTGGACCTCCTACAAGTGGACCTAGCACTAAAATGCATCACCCCAACCTCCACCCCACAGCTCAAATTGCACCTGTGGGATAATCTACCTACCTTCCATCCATCTTTCGCACATGGTGACTGCGTAAGGCTGATGTCACAGTCCTTTTAGATAAGATCCTGGGAACGATGAAGACCCCAAATTTACAAGTAGATTCTTCAGCACAGTGCGGAAGCATCTTCACATGAGATCTGGGATTCTCCTTATTCCCAGGATCCCACGGGAAGGACTGTGACATTGGCCTCTCCAGTACAGAAGTAAATATACACTATATTGCCAAAAGTATTGGGACGCCTTTACACGCACGTGAACTTTAATGGCATCCCAGTCTTAGTCCGTAGGATTCAGTATTGGGTTGGCCTGCCCTTTGCCACTATAACAGCTTCAACTCTTCTGGGAAGGCGTCCACAAGGTTTAGGAGTGTGTCTATGGGAATGTTGGACCATTTGTGAGGTCAGGTACTGATGTTGGACGAGAAGGCCGGGCTCACAGTCTCCGCTCTAATTCATGCCAAAGGTGTTCTATCGGGTTGAGGCCAGTCAAGTTCCTCCACCCCAAACTCGCTCATCCATGTCTTTATGGACCTTGCTTTGTGCACTGGTGCACGGTCATGTTGGAACAGGAAGGGACAATCCTCAAACTGTTCCCACAAAGTAGGGAGCATGAAATTGTCTTGGTATGCTGATGTCTTAAGAGTTCCCTTCACTGGAACTAAGGGGCCAAGCCCAACCCCTGAAAAACAACCCCACACCATAATCCCCCCTCCACCAAACTTTACACTTGGCACAATGCAGTCAGGCAAGTACCGTTCAGTGGCGGCGTGCTTTACACCACGGCATCCCACGCTTTGCATTGTACTTGGTGATGTAAGGCTTGGATGCAGCTGCTCTGCCATGGAAACCCATTCCATGAAGCTCTCTACGCACTGTTGTTGTGCCGATCTGAAGGCCACAATAAGAGGTTCCTGAATAAAAAGTGCAAAAAACACCATCACTGGCTTCTCCCTTTTTGACAGATGTGAAACTCAAGCCACAAGCAGCTTAGAGTCTCCGATACATACTTTGGGTATAACTAAGGTGTGTATTTAAAAAAAATTAAAAATTACAGTGCCATTCGTCCAGCAAAACTGCATGTATGTACTGTGAGAATGGGGCAAAAATTAATGTTATAAGCAGGGCCGGATTTCACACAAGACCAACCTAGGCCCGGCCTCAGGGCAGCAGGAAGTAGAGGGGCAGCAGGGTTGTGGAATTCCTTTCTCCCGACGCCTGGGACATGCAGTTCCGGGCATCGGGTGGATAGATGTTTCCATTTGGGCAAGCAGGGCTAAATGTACAGCAGGGAAGCCATCGCTTGTTTTGTACAAGTGATCTCTGCGAGGTCGCAGAGATCACTTGTATGCAGCCTGCATACAGGGGGGCGCATTGAGGAACCTGGCATTGGGGCAGCAGAGAGAGTAAATCTGGCCCTGGTAATAAGTATATGTTATTTCCAGGTCAAATGTAATATCAGGAAAAACCACACTATGTCCACTAGATGGGGCTGAGGATCATAGGAAAGAAGGATTTATTTCCAATGATCATTGGCTCCATCTAGTGGCTATAATGTGGTATTGTCTGATTCACTCAAATCTTATACATCGACCTTGAAATAAAATATACTAATAACATTTATTCTCCCCCGGCGGCGCTTAGCTGGACCGGTAAGTGGTCATTTGGACCATGTTTTGCCAGTTCACTAATACTCTGGTCAAAGTTGAATATTTGCTCATCAGAGTGAATAATGGATCACATTCTTCCCATTGCTCTATCTTCCTCTATTATACCTACAATGGATTGTTTTCAGAAGCAGTGCTGTATGAACAGCCAAATGCCACCTCTTCTAAATAGTTCCCCTCAGGCACAACCTTCAATTCAAACTCTATAGACAAAACAGCCCGGCAATGACATACGGGCAGTGTGACAATTCCATTGTTTTCTAATAAATTATGTCTCTAGCCATCTTGCCATCTCACCTCATTGTACAAGAACCTCCTGATTTACTGGCTTGAAGTATAACAGAATGCTCTGGATGTCCCACACGTTGGAGAAGCAAAACGTAATTGCTGGGACATCATAGTAGCCATAGAAGGGCTGGGGTGGAAGGGGGCCCCATCAAATCATTGCTATGGGCCCAATGATCTTATATACCTAGAATGCTCACATTAGTATCTTTGCAGCAAGATCCTTCAAGATGGATTAATGTTCTGGTAGTGTCAGTGATCTTCCTTTAGACATGGGACACCTTGAGCCAAAACAGTGTGTCACTCATGCTTTACTTCATGAGAGTATCAGAAGAAAATTAAGTCCATGATATGGCTGCTGCAGGTGGACAGTGTTGGGATCTCAAGTAAGTGATTTCACCACCAGGGTTCCTATGAGATATGAAAGAGGAACCCAACCAACATCCACTATGAGTGACCTGAACAGGGGAATGAGTAACCTAGTGCCATGACTGTCCTTTGGCTTGGCCTACAATCATGATCTCCCATTGTGACCTGGAACCATGCTGGCTCTTGCCTTCTTGCACCTTTGCTGCTTGCCTGATCCTGACCTCGGCCTGGACCATGTTTCTGCTGTTCCTCACCTACTATGTAACTATACCACTGCTGACTGACTGTTACTGCCCTTGCGTGTGTCCTGACTTCGATCCTACCATCATCTCCAGCATCTAATCCCAGTTCATGTTCCTATTAGAATCTAGTCTGCATGATGTCCAAACTACGACCAACTGGTCTTCAGATGTCTTACTGTTCTTGGATTTGCTACAAGCGCCCATTCCAAACTACGACAGGGTGCAACTGGTCTTCAGATGTCCTACTGTTCTTGGATTTGCTACAAGCGCCCATTCCAAACTACGACAAGGTCCAACTGGTCTGCAGATGTCTGACTGTTCTTGGATTTGCTACAATGTTACTCCTTGTCCTACTATACCCTGTAACCAACTTTTTAACCAAGGTTTTTGTATTTTTTGTTTGTAACCTTTTCTACCACCCTAAGTGGAGTTGCTACTAAAATCGAAGGGTGCAAGCGCTTTAATCGGTCTGGCTGATTTGTACCATCGTCACCGTCACCGAGGGGTCACATGACAAGTCCCCTGGCTCGGTGAAAGCCCCGAGCAGCATTTTCTGCAGACCTTTTTTTTTTTATCAGGCAGAGCTTCACAGCCCATTTCCTTTTTATTTGGAAGAGTTAGGACCTCTGCCAGGTTCTCATTGTTCTGTGTCCCCAGTTGGTGTGATTTACACTTACTTCCTGTTCAGGCCTTGACCTATAGAAAGAACAGGAAGTTGTCTACAGGGACCCAGATAGCATTTAAAACCTGATGGAGCTTCTGACTCTTCCCCGCTCTATACACAAACACAACCTCTGACCTTAAAGTTGGGCCTTAAAGTGTATTTCCACTTTTGCCACCACATTGGAGGAAAGCAAACCCTCGGAATGTTTGTTGTGTCTTCCCATTCACACAGCAAATGTAAAAATAAATCAAAATAAAAACATTTCTGACCTTTCTGGAGGTTTCTTTGAAGCGGCCTTGAAGCTACTCCCAACAAATGTCCCCTTACAAAGACCAGGGACACCCTGAGAGGGATAACCGTCAAGGTAGGTTGCTCATTTCAGCTCTCAACCGAACTTTCAAGCCCTCAAAAGGCCGTTGTCATAGCGATAACAACGGCAACTGCAATCGAAATAGAGGCCAAGATGGCGCCTTCATTCTCTGTAAGGCAGGGGTGGGCAACCTCTGGCCCTCCAGCTGTGGTGAAACTACAAATCGTGTCTGCCTCTGTGGCTGTGAGAATCTTGCAATGCTGCATGCGATTTGTAGTTCTGTAAGGGATAGGGGGGGTGTAGTTCCCCTCGGGGAGGGTAATTTATTAAAACTGGAGCAGACAGAATGTGAAGCAGTCGCCCCGTGGCAACCAATCAGCTTCCATCTTTCATTTTCCAAGCTTAGCTGAACAAACAGAAAAGAGAAACCGATTGGTTGCTACGGGCAACCGCTCCAGATTCTCACTGGTCCAGTTTTGATTAATTCCCCCAGTTTTGATAAATCTAGTTGACGACTGATAAAGGAGATCTGCCAGCACAGCGCAGACAGGGTTAATGAAGGTAAACCCTAACTCCCCACCTCCCTCCTTGAAGGGGGGTGGCTAGGTGGGTAAAAAGCACTCAAAAATGTCAGCGGGAATTTTTTAAAAAAAGTTATGCAATGTGACTGTGAACACGTAACAGAGAGAAAGC